AGAGAGAGAGAGAGAGAGAGAGAGAGAGAGAGAGAGAGAGAGAGAGAGAGAGAGAGAGAGAGAGAGGGAGGCTGAAAGGGTTGTACGAGAACCTGGCATCCGGTCATCTTCTTCTGGATGGAGATGATACGCGCCTTTTTCTCGCATCACTGCCGCCAGATCCGAAGGTGGTTGCCAGGCTTCGGCATTGACGACGTTTTTTTCCAAACAAAAGAAAGCCACGCCCCCTCCCCCCCCCCCCCCCCCCCCCCCCCCCCTGCAGATTATCCTCTTTTTTGGGCAAGTGGTGTCGAGGGGCTTCCCCTCCCCATACAGAAATGACTGTGTAGGAAGCGGTCAAGTTGTACGAATGGAATCTGAGCAGAAGTTCAAGTTTGTGTTTTGAAGTGTCTGACGACTGACAGTGACGTGGAGGGAGGAGGGGGGGGGGAGCCCCCCGTCCCACATTCAGATCATCCTTCTTTTTCGGCATATGACATGGGGGCCGACAGTACCGTAGAGGGGGGGAGGGGTGCAGGGGGGCAGAGGCCCCCTTCCCAGCACACAGATCATCCTCTTTTTTGGCATATGGCATTGAAGGCAGAAAATGACCGTGCAGGATTCAGTCAAGCTGTACAAACGGGATCCGAGCTGAAGTCTGTGTTTTGGAACTGTCCGACAGTCAACGGTGGCGTCGAGGGTCCGCCCCCTCCCACACACAGAAAATGACCACGTACGAAGCAGTCAAGTCCTAGAAACGGGATCCGAGCCGAAGCCCGTGTTTTGGAAGTGTTCAGGCGTGTGTAACCAGGCTACGGTGTGTAAAACCGCATCTGCCCGAGCTTGAGCACCCAAATTCAACCGAGTAAAAGAGATTCTGCTTTATTTTCCCGGCGAGCATGGCCGCCACTGCCTGGGATAGACTGCATGGATTTCTTTCCCATAGGTTTCTGTCGTTCTCTCTCACTGCGTGGATTTCTTTCCCATAGGTTTCTTTACTCTCACTGCCTGCCTTGCGTGGTATATTAGTTCCTCTCCGTTCAAGCCCTCTCCTCCCTTCTCGTGCTCAACTTTCACAAGAGTCTCTTAGGTGTATGCACTTGTCCCCCAGTTTTGTCCCCGTCCTTTTCCAAACTGCCTGCTCCATATCATGACACATTGACCCAGTGCAACTTGACTTTTTCTTTGATATGACGTCGTTGTTACCTCACTTCCCACCTCCCCTGCACAGTCAGCCTCTGGTGATACGGCAATTGGCAAGACAGTTGAAACGTGCGTAAGGTCAGTCGGCAGGTTCTGTAGGGTCCATTCCTCAAGTTCTTTCAAAGAGCAGGTATGTGCTGGGGATTTGGTATTCTGTGGCAATCTGAGTATGTAAGTATGCCCTCCTACTCTCCTCGCCTATGCTTTCTTGAGACTCCAGAGCGATGGATCATACCTGCACGTGTCATATGTAACCGACTGCAGTGTACAGCCACTACCAGTCTGCACGGTGCCCGACTTGAGAGGCGTCCCACCCAGTTAGCTGCATTTTCCCATTCTGACAGCCCATTACGAAGATCAAGGGTCTGTGAAGTTGAATCCGGTCCGGGACTGCACCACTTGTTAACGGTTGCCGCCTTTTTTTCAAAAAGAGAACTGGGTTCTCCGGCGCCCTTTTTGTTTTCACGAAGGGCAAGTTATCTTTTTTTAATTTTAATTTGGACCATTTCTCGATCTATGGGGCCCAGGCTAATCTTCTCTGCATCGTTTTAACGGATGTCCTGAAGGACACTTGAAGTTTCTTGGCGACCCGTCTTTCCCCGAATAGAACGGACGGTCATACCCCCAAGTAGGCGGACAGTTTACCCCCAACATATAGCTATAATGACTGTGCGTTCTATTCGGGGGCTAGGTCCCACTTTCACGACTTAAGCGATATTGACCGTAGATAGCGAAGATCAACGGCCAGAATCTCTTAACTTAATCCGTGCAAGTGGGACCTTGCCCCCGGGGGAAGACGGCAGGACGGGGCCCACAGGAGGGGAGACGGTAACGAAGACACGCGTTCTGTCCTTTCGAATGAGAACACGCCTTCTGGCCGTTCATGGAGCTACGGATCGGCTGTACGACTTATGACCGGGCCCCACTGGTTGTTTGTTCATACTGCAGAAGCACGAACCTGATCACCATTAGGCGCAGGTTCTCGCTTTCCAACTACGAACATAGCACTCGTGGGGCCTGCCCATTTATTTTATTTTATTTTATTATTGGGTCTCATTCTGTCGTATAGGCTCGAGTTGTTTTCCTGTCGCGCGGGGGGGATTGTTGGCGATTTTGCGCGCGGGGGGTGGTGGGAAGTGGCGTGCATTTTTGGCGGGTTCATCGTTGGGAAGTGACACGCATTTTCCGGCGAGAGCGCTGGTATGTCGCACGCACGCATTTTCGGTGCGATTTTCTTCTGATTCTGTCTGATTTTTTGGCGGGCCGCCGCGTGGTCGGCCGGCCCTGTCGCGCATCTCAACTTCGTGCGAAGGGCGCCTGCTCGTGGAGAGAGAGAGGCGAAAGAGAGACTGGAAAACGGAGCCCTGTGGAGCCGAATGGCTGACGTGGCGTCATATGGTCCGGCGGACGTGGCAGATCGAGGTGGCATCGCGGGGATAGGCGGGCGTCGCAGGCGGGCGTCGTCGTGGGCAGACTTGGCGGGCGGGCTGATCTCAGAAGACGACGGGCAGGTTAGCGAGCTGAGCCACATGCATCTTCCCTCTCTCCCTCAACTCTGTGGCCTTGATCTCTTTTTTTTTTTTTTTTTT